ATATTGATATCTTTCAATATCTTTCAATAAAATATGTAGATGCCCCTCAATACCCTCGGCCTTGCTAACGTTATCCGTGATATTCCGTGATATCCCAGCAAATTGACAGCGCGACAGCTGAGTTTTACAGCCCCCTCGAGTCGGGTCAATGGCAATATTATTAGCCATGGGTGGTGGGGCTCGGTTCAAACGGTGGGGTTGGCTGAAAGCCAGGCACAGTGGTGCAAATAAATCAGCAAAGTGTTGCCGAAAATCTTGCCCCAGATTGATTTATGCCCCCCATCCCCTCACCAACCCATGCACATCAGTGGCCCACTGTGCCGGGATGGGGATCGGCCAAAGGGATATAGATACAGATATAGATATATCGATTGGAGGAAGGGGGACCTTTGGGGTATGCTGAGCTGTCGTCTACTTTGTGACACTTTGACATTTTGGTCCTGCGGAGAGGGGGATTTCATTTAAATTTGCTGTCAACGCAATTACATGGTTACCAAGGTATTGGAAATCCGCTTCCTGTTTCAGTCACTGTTACTGATTTCGAGTGAACCACACCACCCTGCACAGAGAAAAACATTTGATGCACAAGATCTTGTATATTTCTGCAATATGGCTATGCCTGTGAATGCATGATAAATGCGTACGGAGTAGTAGATGCAGAATAATACATTATTTCTTTCTGTGCATCCCCCAAAAAGTTCTCCTTTACCAGTAGACCGAGCGCCCGAGGCACTCGAGCCCTGCCACATGTTATAGCCCCCTATTGATTCGATTCGTTTTCTCCCCCAGCTTCCTTCGAATCTCAAATGACTCACTTCCTTCGGGGGCAACATTTGTGCAATAAAAAAAGAATATAATACGCGGCAACCAATAAACCGCGCCCATGTATAAATAAAAACAAGATAGAATTCTATAGTCGAGTTCCCCGACTATCAGATACCTGTTACTCAGATAGTGCTAACGAGAAATTTCAACCTTTTCTGGAATATCGGTAAAAATTGGGGAAGAAAATAATAAAATAAATAAAAACTTCAAAAATTTTTTAAAAGTGACAGAAACATTTTGATGTAGTAATGAATTTGATATTTTTGAATTTCTACAACAACATCACATCAGAAAAATTACAAAAAAATAAAAAAAATAAGATTTCTAAATTTAAATGCAGATTTTTAGAGAGTTGCACCAGAAACATTTTGATATATACCACTTCAAGATCCGATTAAGATAAGTTGAGTTATGGAGTTTAGAACTTCAGCCTTGGGACATTTCTTACATTTTTTCAATTCCTACATCATAACATCAAAAAAATTACAAAAAAATTAAAAAAAAATTGATTTTTAAATTTGAATGCAGATTTTTAGAGAATTACGCCAGAAACATTTTGATATATGCCACTTTAAGATCCGATTAAGATAAGTTGAGTTATGGCGTTTAGAACTTCAGTCTTGGGACATTTCTTAAGTTTTTGAATTTCTACAACACCATCACATCAGAAAAATTACAAAAAAAAAAAAAAAAAAAAAGATTTCTAAATTTAAATGCAGATTTTTAGAGAATTACGCCAGAAACATTTTGATGTATGCCACTTTAAGATCCGATTAAGATAAGTTGAGTTATGGAGTTTAGAACTTCAGCCCTGGGATATTTCTTACATTTTTTCAATTCCTGCATCATAACATCAAAAAAATTACAAAAAAATTTTAAAAAAATGTATTTTTAAATTTGAATGCAGATTTTTAGAGAATTACGCCAGAAACATTTAGAGGTATGCCACTTCAAAATCCGATTAAGATAAGTTGAGTTATGGAGTTTAGAACTTCAGCCTTGGGACATTTCTTACATTTTTTCAATTCCTACATCATAACATCAAAAAAATTACAAAAAAATTAAAAAAAAATTGATTTTTAAATTTGAATGCAGATTTTTAGAGAATTACGCCAGAAACATTTTGATATATGCCACTTTAAGATCCGATTAAGATAAGTTGAGTTATGGAGTTTAGAACTTCAGCCCTGGGATATTTCTTACATTTTTTCAATTCCTGCATCATAACATCAAAAAAATTACAAAAAAATTTAAAAAAAATGTATTTTTAAATTTGAATGCAGATTTTTAGAGAATTACGCCAGAAACATTTAGAGGTATGCCACTTCAAAATCCGATTAAGATAAGTTGAGTTATGGAGTTTAGAACTTCAGCCTTGGGACATTTCTTACATTTTTTCAATTCCTACATCATAACATCAAAAAAATTAAAAAAAATTGATTTTTAAATTTGAATGCAGATTTTTAGAGAATTGCGCCAGAAACATTTTGATATATGCCACTTTAAGATCCGATTAAGATAAGTTGAGTTATGGAGTTTAGAACTTCAGCCTTGGGACATTTCTTACATTTTTTCAATTCCTACATCATAACATCAAAAAAATTAAAAAAAATTAAAAAAAAATTGATTTTTAAATTTGAATGCAGATTTTTAGAGAATTACGCCAGAAACATTTAGAGGTATGCCACTTCAAAATCCGATTAAGATAAGTTGAGTTATGGAGTTTAGAACTTCAGCCTTGGGACATTTCTTACATTTTTTCAATTCCTACATCATAACATCAAAAAAATTACAAAAAAATTAAAAAAAAATTGATTTTTAAATTTGAATGCAGATTTTTAGAGAATTGCGCCAGAAACATTTTGATATATGCCACTTTAAGATCCGATTAAGATAAGTTGAGTTATGGCGTTTAGAACTTCAGTCTTGGGACATTTCTTAAGTTTTTGAATTTCTACAACACCATCACATCAGAAAAATTACAAAAAAAAAAAAAAAAAACAAGATTTCTAAATTTAAATGCAGATTTTTAGAGAATTACGCCAGAAACATTTTGATATATGCCACTTTAAGATCCGATTAAGATAAGTTGAGTTATGGAGTTTAGAACTTCAGCCCTGGGATATTTCTTACATTTTTTCAATTCCTGCATCAAACATAAAAAAAATTACAAAAAAATTTAAAAAAAATGTATTTTTAAATTTGAATGCAGATTTTTAGAGAATTACGCCAGAAACATTTAGAGGTATGCCACTTCAAAATCCGATTAAGATAAGTTGAGTTATGGAGTTTAGAACTTCAGCCTTGGGACATTTCTTACATTTTTTCAATTCCTACATCATAACATCAAAAAAATTACAAAAAAATTAAAAAAAATTTGATTTTTAAATTTGAATGCAGATTTTTAGAGAATTGCGCCAGAAACATTTTGAGGTATGCCACTTCAAAATCCGATTAAGATAAGTTGAGTTATGGAGTTTAGAACTTCAGGCTTGGGCCTGAATATATACTTGGTATGGTCGGTAACGTTTCTTTCTTCCTGTTTCAAACTTTTCAACGAATCTAGTATACCCGTTTACCCCACGAGTAACGGGTATAAACACATATATCGCAAAACCGCCTACTGCGAAATGAGAGAAAAAGAAAAGAAAGCAATAAAATTAAGAAATTTTCAAATTTATGCATGACACACCTGACTACGATTTGGTGTGTGTGTATGTGTTCCTGCTCAATTGTTTCCCCGCCCCTATTTTCCTTTTTTCTACCTTCCATAGGGAATTTCCGGCCTTAAGCTTGTTAAGCATTTTTATTGCCTCTGCCAGCTTAATTATTTCTGGTGCCCTTTACATCGTGGGGAAAAATGGCAAAAAAGAAGGCAAAGAGTGGGGCTTATATGTGAAGTTACGGCTCATTTGGGTAATGTCAATAAGTCGGATCTCTCGAGGGAGTCGCACAAATTGACTTCTGGCACATTAATGTGAAAACCAACAATAACCAAAAGTACCAAAAAAAAGAAAATTGTTAACGGAAATTTTGTTGCAAAGGGAAATCTCTTAATAACCATACAACAAGTGGGGTCTTATTGTACATACTGTATATTCCGAAAGTTAATTAAAGCAAATATATAACTTAATACATTTAAAATGTAAGGCTTCTTTAACGTGGTCCTGCAAGCCGGATTAAAAATTTCCTTTAACCGAAGACTCTAGAAATGGAAGAGTATTAAATGAAGCGTATGCAAATTCACCGACACCGTTGTAATCAATGAACTTTCTTTGTACAAACCAGGCTATGGAAACGTTGCGCCGCGAACGACGCTCGGGAGGATCGTGACCCTGGCGTACGCCTTCTTCGGCATCCCACTGACATTGGTCTACCTGAGCAGTACGGGCAGCATTTTGGCCAGGGTGGCCCGCGAGGTCTTCTCGAAGGCCCTGTGCTGTTGTCTCTGCTCGAATTGTGGCTATTGCTGCTACGACGAGAAGCGGATGGCCGAAAAGGAGCGCCGGATGCGGCGCAAGAGGCAGCAGGAGGAGCTACGCAAGCAGCAGGCCGTCATGCAGGAGCCGTATTACGTGAGGGATGTCTTTCATGCCACGCCCGAAAAGGATGCGGGTGCTGGGGCACCACCGCCGAATGCCGGCGTACCGGGAGGATCCGTCGGTGGCCTGGGCGACATCGATTCGCTCAGTGCCAGCGAGTCCAGGGGCTCCATGCACGGCCTGAGTATCTTGGCCCCCATTCTGCTCTGCTTCTCCATGATGATCATCTACATTGTTTTCGGTGCCGCCGTCTTATATCGCCTGGAAAACTGGCCCATTCTGGATGGCATATACTTCTGCTTCATGAGCCTGTCCACCATTGGTTTTGGCGATATGCTGCCGGGATTGCGGCGGGAATCGAATGCCACCACCTGGTTCTGTTCGGTATACATAATGTCGGGCATGACCCTAACGGCCATGTGCTTCAATGTCATACACGAGGAGATTGTCCATCGCATTCGCATTGTGGTGGAGTTCAAGAAGACGAGTGCTGCTAACTCGGGCGGTGGTTTGATCGGAGGCGGCAGTGTGTCGGGTGGTGCAGGTGGTGCTGGTGGTTCCATGATGGATGTGGCGCACGAGGAGGGTAGCCAGTACTATGTGCCAGCGTCCTGACACTACGAGAAGCGAGGACATCTCTACCAGCGCAACCCCACCGAAGAGACCCTGGTGACAGGTGAGCGTTTATTCTGAAATGCACCCAATTAACAATTCCGCTTCAATTCGTGGTCCTGCAAGCCGAACTTGTTTCTTAATCCGGCTCAATGGACCATTTCAACTGTATTGTATGTATGGTTAATTCAAATGGATTTCCCCCTTCACAGACACACCCACATCGCTGGTGATGAAGGATTACGTAAACCACGAGCTGGTGCCCATCCTAACAATGGACCCCAATGGCGCCCGCCTGGCCCCCACCCCTGCCCCCGCCTACACGCCCGCCAACACTTCGACGGGAATACCCGGATCCGGCGAGGTGACCACTCCCGGCAACAGCTGCATCGCCCACGGCAGCGACCCGGGCCTGGGCTACTCCTCGCTGAGCAGTCCGCTCCTCGATGTCCTGAACACGCCAACGGGTGCGAATGCCTCCGGGGTCTACACACTCGCTGAGGAAACGGAACTCGAGCTGCAGGAGACGCAGGTGGACAGGGAGCGGATCTAAGAACGCCAACGACGAAAGTATTTACTCGACGGATCAGTATTAGTTAGCGGTTAGCCTTAGACATAGTCCTAAAACCCTAGATCGAATCGGTATAGTGTGTAAAGTGTAATGACTATTTTTTTTTGTTTTTTTTCCTGCCCCACCCCCAAAAATTGTGGGTGTATATGCCATAAGAAGAGTAATAAGTGCGTGTATGTGTGTGTGTATGTAATGGGGAGTTTTTCCCCAATAAAAACAAATATGTCCCGTTGGACCAGCAAAAAGATCGTAGCATAAGACAAACTATCACTGTACATACTATATATGGTAGCGGAGGCGAAGATACATTTCCATAGCTCCTAAGCTGATTGACCGATTGTAAACAGAGGCCCCAAATAAGAAAACTAGTCAATGGAGTACGAGATGCGACCCGTATTTAAGTAAAAAATACAAATAGAACGGCGGAAGGGAAGAATAACAACCGATGGGTTGAAGAGAGGTGATCGTTTATATTAAATTACACTCTAGGGATTTGGAAAGCTTTCAATATGGGCTTGATTACTATGCTGTGATAAATTGAACATTTATTATTGCATACTCCTAAGTCCTTATCCAGTTATTTGAAATCCCTAGAGTTATTCGTAAGTGATATTGCCAATTTGCATTAACCTAACGTATTCACTCAAGTTGTTTTCCAATTTACAATTTGTACAACTCTTCTTGGTGGATCACCTCCAAAAGTTTACGTTTTAATAATTCATGCAACTGAGCCTTCACTTCACTTTTCAATCAATTCGAAACTACACTTTCTTACGGTACGACTTAATAGAGAAATTCCCTTTTTTATGTGTGCAAGCAGAGAGCTCCAGAACGCAACTACATAATCCACAATACCCATACCTAATCAAGACACATTTTATACGTAAATCAAGCTTAGAACAATTACAAAATATGTACTTAATACGAAATAAATATGCTACACTTAAATATATATATATAAATATATATAACTACATCTAGGTAATTGTTTTTTTTTGTAATTGTAATAAGCATAAAATGGATGAGTGGAGAATTAAACTATGCATACATATTATCAATGAATTCGAATTCATAACTTTAAATAAATGTTTAAACTACAAGAGAAAACTACGAAAACAAAAACCAAACAAAACTTGCGTAACTTTGTAAATGTTGAAATATACCCGATTGTATATTTATGACAAGTGCAGCAGTGAAATAAAATCAATAAAAACTTAAGTAAAGACGTTAAGGAGTTTCGTGTTTGACTGGTGAGGTTTTTCAAATTTGGCGCACCCCCTAACTACTGCGCATCAGCAGCTGTACGGCGTAGCAGAGTGCTAACATGGCGTTTGGTGCTGCCACTTTTGCTTGTGCTGTTAGGCGCAAAAAATGCTATTATTATTAATTCACTTTGAACATATATAAGTTATTGCCTATTAAGTGTGGATTGCTTATATATTTTTATATGATCATTTGCTTATGTTCATTTTATAAATTTGTTTGCTTAAGCATAAACCTGTATTTTGAGTGTAGTGTAACATGTCTGCTAAGTTAGCAGGGCTTACACTGACAGCACTGTTCCGCCATATTGAAAAACCCGTTAGGATTTTATTGGCGTGGCTTTATTTTTAAGTTTATAATAGTTTAATATAATGGACTGGTCGCTCATAATATCAATACTGCTCAACTGCCTCTACGCCGGCGCCTCTGCGCTCGACGAGGATTGCCCCACACTGGACGACGGGGATAACTTGTCGCAAACACAGCTGCTGGACCGCTTAACCCATGGCTGCCGGTACGATCGCCTGGAACGACCCATAACTTATTCAGAAACTGGCCAGAGGCTGCCGGTGGACGTCTATATGCGAGCCTACATCTACTTCATGCAGAACCTGGAGGCACACGATCTGCAGTTTAAGATCTATGCGCTCCTTCAAATGCGCTACCTCGATCCGCGTCTCAACTTTCGCAACGTGAGTCCCAAGCGAAGGCAACCGATTTTGGGCGAGGAGCACCTGAGGAACTCCCTTTGGATGCCACACATATTCCTGGCCAATGAGCGCGACTCCAGTATTTTGGGTGAGTATGGGTGAGTGTATGAAATACTGTATGAATTACTTGTTTCCAACTAATTTGCAGGTCTCACGGAGAAGGACATCCTCACCTCGATTTCGCCCGATGGCACCGTGATTGTTTCGAATCGCATCAAGGCGACACTCTATTGCTGGCTCAACCTCAAGAAGTTCCCATTCGACGAGCAGCACTGCTCGACGGTTCTGGAGAGTTGGATGTACAATACATCGGAACTGGTGCTCCACTGGGAGCAGAAGCGTCCGATAACCTACGATGGTGCACTGCATCTCACCGAGTTTGTGCTGCAGCGTTCCTGGTCGAATGAGACGGTGATCAATGCCGATTTGAGTGACCTGCGGCACGGAGCCTTTGCCGGCAACTACAGCTCCCTCAGCTTCACCGTTCACCTGACGCGAGTGGTCGGCTTCTACCTGATGGACTACTTTCTGCCCTCTATGTTGATTGTGGCCATATCCTGGGTATCGTTCTGGCTGCAGGCGGATCAGGCGCCGCCACGAATTACACTGGGCACCAGCACCTTGCTGACATTCATAACATTGGCCTCGGCACAGGGAAAGACCCTGCCAAAGGTTAGCTACATCAAGGTGTCGGAGGTGTGGTTCCTGGGCTGCACCATCTTCATATTTGGCAGCATGGTGGAGTTCGCCTTTGTCAACACGATTTGGCGTCGAAAGAAGAGTGTGCCCGTCAAGAAACTGAACAGCAAACACATCCTGAAGTCAACTCTATCGCCGAATCTTCTCAGACGCCGCAGTCACGCCAGATCCAGATCGTTTTCGGGCACGGCTCTGCAAAAGGCAGCGGACACCGGCTCCCTGGGCGGTGGTGGTTTCAATAATTACCTAACCGTCAATCTGCCCATCACCACGATTAAGGAGGGCCAAGTTATGGATCAGCAGAGGACCAGCCGAGGTGTCCAGAAGATGGATGTTAACTTTGTAGAGAGTGCCTTTGGATCCGTGGGTGCAGCTCACTCCTCTGGAGCCATAAGTACTGCCAGCAGCAGCCAAACTTTGACCAATAATAACCGAACTGACAGCGCGGGACACCAGGAGGAGATCGATCTAAGTGGCTGGACCACGCTAACGCCCCAGGAAATCGCCATGTGGATTGATAGCCGAGCCAGATTCGTTTTTCCGCTGTCATTTCTCGTCTTTAACCTGTTTTTCTGGACATTTGTCTACTGTATTTAAAAAGGTCCACTTAATTTTATTATAAGATTACAAAGTAGATTTAATATTGTGAACGGTATTCAATTTAAAGTGTTTATTATTTGTACCCATCGTGTAGCACATAGTATGGCTAATTATTGTATTTATGTTTGTTTGCCACTTAGTTCTGAAAAATGATTTTATATTTATTCTGTTGTAAAATAAAGCTCATGATTTCATGACTGCCGAAATGTTATATTTTTATGCGTGAGATAAAACTTTCGCAGTGACAGAAATATAAAAAATGTTTTCAAAAACGATTCCATTACCGGTCTCGTTTTCGATTACCGGAATCGATATACATATCGATAGGCCAGCTGAGGAGCACCCGCCAAGCCAACCTGTGCGTTAGAGCAGCACGACTATACTGCTGCGAATTCCTATCGTATTCGTTTTTTCCCCCACACATACACACGGCACACGCATACAGCGCAACAATAACATCGGGCCCCAAAAAAAGGGAAAAAAAGACGACGGACAAAAACTTCGTCGTGAATTGTAAAATACAAAAAAAAACGCATTCGAACGCGCTGGTTTGTTTTTTTTTTCACGTGTAACTACGCCAAAAAAAGGGCAAAGGAATTAAGCGGAAAAAAGAAGCAGAACTTCGCAGCAGCAACAACAACAGCGCCGCATATTTGCTTGTGTGCAAGTGCAAGGCAAACATAAACAACGCGCGTGTGTGTGTGTACCACGAAAATATCGTATTAATCAAATTTATATATCATTTACTTAGTTTTTGTTTTTGCCATCATAATATGCCATACAGCGATCACCGAAATCCAAAGGCAATCCAAACTCTAAGAAGTTAGTTTCAAATACAATCACACACCGTTTGGATCGTGTTCACAAACTCATAGTAAAAAGGAAAAGAAAAAGAAAAAAAAATAGAAAAAAATTGGACAAAATAATATCAACGAAAAAGAAAAACGGCACTGAATGTTAACCGGTAAAGATAGCGGTAAATTGCGAGGGAGAAGGACAACGACAACAACGACCACAGAGGGGGCAAAAAACAGCAACAAAGTGCATCATCCTTCTCCTGCTCCCCATCCTCTTCCTTATTTACTGTTATAATGGACACCATCTGTAGATTGTGCTTCCAAACGGCAACGGTATGTTAACAAAAAAAAAAGATATACACACATGTGATTTAGGTATATACATTTTGTTATTTCTATTGATTTTTCGTTGTTTTTCTTTTTTGGGGGAGTTTAAACAATTGAATTCGCGCTACTGTTATTGTGCGGGCGGGTTTTTGCCGCAGGGGCGGCGGGGGGTTTGAAAAGCGCGCGCATTGCCCCCCTTTCCCGCACACACACACACAGGAATAAGAAATACACACACACATGCGACCCCAAACTATTGCTGAACAATTTTTATTTTTAGCCAACTCAGCCCGAAAAGTTGTTCAAGCCGACAACTTGAAAAAATATTATTTTTACATTTTGCTTACGCTCGCCACTCGCTTTTCACTTTGACTCCTTTTCAACCTATTCCCCCAAAAGCCCCTGCCCCCTCTTCCCCCCTCCCGCTGCCCATGAACCGCACAAAAAGAAATACATAATAAAACAAAATGACAGAAATTGCGCCAAGGCAGCCAAATCCGCAGTGGCTGCGCGTTGATTTTGCGAGGGGGGATTACTATTGAGCATCTAAGCTGTGATCTTGTGTACAAGTTAAAATTGAGTGGTTAATAGAATTAAAAAATCAGATCAGACTTTGCTTGGTTTTCAGTTTTTTATTTACACAATTACTAGTATAACGTTACGGAGTGACCAAAAACGAACCCCTTTTCTTTGTGGGCGACGCCTCTGACACCGTTGCTGGCAGAGCGGCGGCAAAGCAAAACAAAAAGCGAAAGAATAACAAAACGTTGTACCGAAGAAAAAAAATAACATGAAATGAAAACAGCAACAACAAGAAGAAGCTGCTGGTGCTTTTGTTATTGTAGTTTCTTTTCTTTCTTTTTGATTCTCCATGTGTGCGTGTGTGTGTGTGTTTATCTTCTTGGCTGTTATTTCTAGTTGGCGGAAAAGAGAAAGGGCTAGTTGGGAAGGGAGGGGAAGTATGGAATAAGATTGAGCTGCCACAATAAATAAAGAACATTATTACGTTTTTTCCAATTGGAAGCTTTCTCTAATCCCCGTGTCCTGTTCTCCCGCCCCACAGTTGTTCCAGGTGCCCGGCTATAGCATACCCACGTGCGTCCGCTGCTCGGAGCAGTTGACAAATAATTCCAACTTCCATCAGTCGGCGGCGGCAGCTGCAGCCGTCGCTGCCTCTGCCTCGGCCGCAGTCGCCGCCTCCGCAGCAGCGGCGGCTACCTCCTCGTCGACGGCCTCCTCCAGCGACAGCGACGCCATCGCGCAGCAGCAGCAGCAGCAGCACCAGAACCCGCAGCAGCAGCAGCAGCAGCATCAGAATTCGCAACAGCAACAACAGCAGCAGCAGCAAATGCAATCATCCAGTTCTTCCGAGAACCTACAGTCGCAGGACGACTCCGAAGACGTAAGTCCTTTTCCGGGATTGGGATGCCAAAGTAGGGACAGTGTTGCAAAGGGCATAGTGCGTGAGTTAAATTAGATGTGCAGTGTTGCGAGAGACATGGCAAGGCAGTAACAGTGAATACAGTTCTGCAAAGGGCTTAATGAGGAGACAAAGTTGAGAAAGTAACCCAAGGTTGTAGCTACACATTTGCAAATCGAATATGAACGTCTTGAAACCTATGGTTATAATAGCCCACGCAGAGTGTTTTATATTGTAGGAATCAAATCAATGCAATTACCCATTAAAATATGAATGATTCAAATAATGACAAATTTAAACCTAATTACTGCGTTTTTGAAGACCCCGTTCAGTCGTGTTTAGAAAAGGACTTTACTCCCACGGGAGTTCGACTCCTGCTCCTCTTGCTGCACTTGTTTATTATTGTTGTGCTATTTTCTCTTCATTTTCTTACATTTCACTACTCCCCCACTCACAAAAGGCGTACATATACATATACATAAATACATACGGACACAGTGCACATTCATAGCTGCTGCTTTTCTTCTTCGCTTCTTATTTCGCCGTTTCTTTGCATGTTCTTGTTGCCTTTCTTTTTCCATCATGCAACAGAGAACTGCAAAAAAAAAAAGTATAAATAAATGTAAGATTGCGTTACGATGGCTGGGCAATACTCTATTTCAAAAATGCTTAGATACTACTTAGATATTACTGCCGTTGCTACTGTTTGTATTAACTTCAATAGATTTAGTTAGGTACAGTTTAATACCAACGCACAGTTGACGAAGGTAGTGTTGGAAAGTTCTTTTAAAACATTAAAAACAGATATGCACTGCAAACCGCTTAAAAGGTGATGACTGTGAGAGCATTTTCTATTCCACTTGCTACATTTCGCACTGCTCATTTTCTTGTTTTCCTTTATATTTATATATATATGTATATATACACATATATTTTGTGCTTCTTTTTCCATTAATATCTGCTCTGTCGACGTCGACGTCGGCGTAGAAGTCGACGCAGCTCGGCGTTTTTGTGCGCTGTGTAAAGCGGAAAAAATTCATTTTCAGTTGGCGCTTTTGGTGTGTGGGTGTGCGTGGCACGCAGAAAAATAAATATAATAATAATAATAAAAATACAAATTGTGAAAATTATTATATGTGACTCAAGTGATTCCGCAATAAACAAACTGAATTCGCACGGGAATTTACAATCCGTTCTTTTGGCCGCCAGCTTGTTGAGCGTGAGTGGGAGTGGGAGGGCGATAGTGGCACAGCGATGTCCACTTGGCTACTTAATCGCCAGATCTATATGTATATGTGTACAGTTTAGAAGAATAGTTCTAAAAAAGACTTTTTTTTCTTTTTTTTTATGAGTTTTTAAAGTATTATGGCATATCTACCATATATGTAAGCCTGCACATATAAAACCTTTTGATATACCTGCTGTGTACCAAATTTGTTACTCTCTGATGAATGGGGAACCAAAGCAAGATGCACTTTCAACTGATGCTCTATTTGCTACTTCAAGGTGGATCTGATATTCAACGAGGAGGGCTCCTGCCCGCTATGCAACAAAACTTTCTCGCGCAAATCCTCGCTCATGACGCACATACGAAATCACTCCGCGGAGCGTAAGTTTGTGTGCACCTACTGCCACAAAGGTGAGTTCACATGCTCCTCGCACATATCATCTGGTACTTGACTTCTCTTCTACTTGCAGGCTTCACGCAGGCGGCCAACTTGCGGAACCACGAACGCATCCACACGAACGATCGGCCATACCACTGCGTGGACTGTGGCAAGACCTTCACTCAGATCACCAATCTGAACAATCACCGCCGGCTGCACACCGGAGAACGGCCCTTCGTCTGCAATGAACCGGAGTGCGGTCGCAGTTTCGCCCAGGTCAGTTCCAGACAACCTATTGCGTCATGATCCCGGCGTCTAGTGCGTCTAGAAGAGTCTGTGTTCGCAGATTGCAAAAGATCTATGGTTTATAATTTGAAATGTTCTCGCATTATAGGTGACGAACCTGAACAACCACATGAAGTCGCACCACAAGGTGCAGCAGTACTGCTGCAACGTGTGCAACAAGAAGTTCACGCAGGTGACCTCGCTGAACCAGCACCTGCAGGCGCACGCCGGGGTCACCGGATACTACTGTCCGCGCTGTCCGGAGAAGAACTTCAAGCTGCAGTCGCAGCTGCACACGCACATGAAGACCCACGGCCTGGCCTTTCCGTACGAGTGCGACAAGTGCGACGAGAAGTTCCTGCAGCAGGCCCATCTCGACCAGCACCTCAAGATGCACGACGAGTTCAAGTTCAAGTGCGACATCTGCCCGAGCAGCTTCAACCAGGAGTCGCTGCTGAAGAAGCATGTGCAGCGCCATGTCGAGGGTCGCTACCTCTCCTGTCCGGTGGCCAATTGTGCCGAGTCTTTTGCGGTGCGCCAGCACCTCTCCAAGCACCTGCTCACCAACCACGCCCACCACGAGCTGCCGCCTCCGAAGCGATCCAAGAAGGCGGGCACGCTGCAGACGTCGCAACAGCCGCTGGCGATGATCGGCCAGCCGTTGTCCCTGCAGCACACGACAGGGCAACGTAAGTGCTCACTTTCCACTAGTCCACCACTATTCACAAAGCTAATTGGCCTTTCGTTGCATATCCAGGTGGACGTCCGCCGAAGAACAAGAACAAGACGACAACGCTGGCCGCCACGGCCATCAAGATTGAGATCAACGAATCGCTACACAGCCAGCATATCAGCAATGTCAGTGGCCTGTCCATCCAGCAGCAGATCAACCAGCACATGCAGCAGCAGGCGGCACAGCAGCAGGCGCAGCAGCAGGCACAACAACAGCAGCAGCAGCAGGCGGCGCAACAGCAACAGGCGCAGCAGCAGCAACTGCTGCACTTGCCAATGGGCCAGGCGGTCAAGGCGCGTTTCATACCCACTAAGTAGGCTAGTTAAGGATGGAAAGAAGGTCTCTCTTAGCTTAAGCCCCACACGATCAGCTGCTAAAGTCCCTTATTAGCATAGCCATAGCCAAAGTAGCATCACATTCAGCACATACACACGCAAAATATGATAGATATGGCGCGGATGTTTTGGAGTCTGCAGATCTAAATAGTTTTGGGTTTCTTAAGTTGGTGAGACATGCACTCGTTATACCCGTTACCCGTGGGGCAAAAGTGTGTACAAGATTGGTGAAAAGGTATGGAACAGGCAGAAGGAAGCGTTTTCAAGCCTATATTGTGGATCAGGATCACGAGCCATGTCCGTCTGTCTGTCCGTCCGTAGGAACGCCACTAGCTGCGTAATGGGCATACCGACTATAGCGGTCTCCCATTGTTCATTGTTTCCTGCTTATCAAACATTTTTGACTCCACTATTGATATCATCAACTCTTTGGGTATCAGAAAGTGGATAACCAATATAACCCACTTATTTTGAAATCGGCGAACGGACTTCCAGAACATCCGGATTTTAGAGTCGGCGGCAAGCTGCTGGTTCAGTTTGGTGTCTGTCTCCCACTTTCGGTTTTGAATTTACCAGCCAAAGCAATAGAAGAACCAAATGTCCCTGGATAAATTTACAAGATTTACAAATAGCACCAATGCATGACATCGAAAAAGAAAAAGCAGCACCAGATGGACAGACAAAAACACTGACTTATAATTATGCACATAACACCCACATCTATATATACATTATATTATATAAACATGAGATCGGGTTGAGAAATCTGTAACTTAAATCGAATTAAAATTTTATTGTAATGCAAATGCACAGCGAAAAGGAAAATATAATGTTGAAAAATCAGAAAGCAAATACAAATTACCTACAATTGATAGTAATTATGCATAGAGAAAAGTAACAAAAACAAGAAGTGAAAAACAATTCGATTAAATTCGGTATGTATTTATGTTAGGCGTTAGCTTAAGTGTTTTTATTTTTTTTTTAATAAACCATTACAAAAAATCAACATAAAGTAAAGAAACAAGTTAAGGCTAAAGCGAACGTTTTCTTCTAAATGGGCGAAGTTATGTATTTGGGTTCCTGTATTTAGAACTTTAGAAATCCAAAGCGATTAGAAGCCCAATCGGCTTGTAATTGTCTCAAGCGATCAGTTTTATACAATACATATATAGTTTATTTGAAAATACATTCCATTTAAAAAAGATAATAAATTTACATTGAGCTTAGGCTAGACGAGCAGAAGCGATGAGGCCAACGAGAAACAATCAGCAAATCGGGAGCTCAATTCGAGATGAGTATATTTGGCTCGATGGAGTGCAGGACGTTGAATCCCTTGTGGAGGATGCAGGTGCGCTGAACGCCACAGGCCACCAGAAAGTGCGAGAACTGCAATGTAAGGGACGACTTTAGTTAACAAGAAGCTTTATTCGCGCCAGAGGATGCCCCACCTCCACGGAGTGCTGATGGATGTTGCTGACGCAGACCACGATCTTGCCGCGGAGCTGCGCCTCCAATTGGGGAACCTGCAAGGCCTCCAGTCGCTGTTCACCCAACTGGACGGTGGCGAAGGGAATATTGATGCTATGCGGCACATGGACACGTCCAAACTCCACCACGCTGCGCAGATCGACGAGTATCAGCTCTGCAGGCGAGTTGTCCAGCAGGAATTGCACATCTTTGGCGCTGATCCGGGGGCACTGCTCCTGTTGCAAGTGCTTCAGCTCGACATCCGCCACGCCAATGTCCTGGGGAGTAGAACGACCTGTAATTCAAGTCATGGCATGCCTTTTCTCAACACTCACCAACGCCCGTGGCGGCTGAAGGCGCAGCGCGTGCTGGCGATGAGTAATACTCTTCGGAGTGGCCTCGTACATCTTCTGGGACTCCAGCACGCAGCCATCCATCACGATATCGGGCAAGTCGGAGAAGAGCAGGATGCACTCGTTGAAACCGGAGGTGAGCAGCGTGCTCCTCAGCTGGCGCAATATGGCAATGCCAATGAACAGCGGATACGAACTGTCGCCCAACATGAGTTTATCCCACAAATGCAGGATCTTGTGCAGCGGGAATACATCTGCAAGAGAGAGAGAGAGAGAGAGAGAGAGATAGAGAAAGAGAGAGAGTGGATATTAAATAGGAAAATAACAATGGCGCAGGCAGCAACTTACGCGAGAACATGGTGAGAAACCAGGGGATGGCAAACAACTCGGGTATAAAGCTAATGCTGGCCAAATGCTGGGCGAGAAGCGGTTCATGGAAGGCAGTCAGCTGGGAGAACTTGCTCAGGTACTCCTTGATCACCGCCGAATTATCCTTGAGAAAGAACCACTGCAGATACTTTGGAATGAACTTGAACAAGCTGAGGAAGGCCAACTCTGTGGGAAGGCAAAGCGTTACAACATTTACGATTGTGAATGGCAACCTGATAAACCCCAGCCTCACCTTCATTGTTAAAGTTGAGATAGAGAAACGGTGCCGTCAGTGAGTCCAGTCCCTGCCAGTAGACGTATTGCGGATGGGCGGTTACCCAGGCCTTTAACAGCCGCCTCAGCTTGCGGTGGCCATCCGGCGAGGAGAGCAGCTCATCGTACTGATGGCAGCGCGGTATGTCAACCTCGATCTGCCGATCCGTGCTCGTAGACGTAAACTTGTCGATCTTCGCGTAACTGCCATTGGGCACGACCTCCAGGAGGGCAGCCCAAATGGGACCCCTGAGTAGCGGCGGCACATCCACGGCTGCCTCGCGCTGCAGCTGCTCCGCCGTATGCGGATAGCCCTGGATAAGGCGCGTAAACAGCCGCACGCGCTGAAACTGGTACTCGATATCCTTTTCGCGGATCACCAGCGGCAGTTCCTGCAGTTCGCGGGCAAAGTGGGCGGGAAAACGCGGCGAGTGGAGCAATGGAAAGTAGACTGCGGCTGGCAGGCCACTCAGACGCTGGAGCAGCGCCTTCAGGCGCAGCGGCACCACTCGATCGTCCATCAGCTGCGCCTGACTTCGTCCGGGACAAACGCTGGCACCGCTCAGGCGCACGATTTGCGGCAGACCCAAAATGGGCGCCTCACTCCGGATGAGGCCCTCCTTCTTCAGCTCCGCCTGCACATCTCCGCCGGCCAGTTGCCACAGGTGGTAGATTTGCGACAATGGACATCGCAAGAGCAGTGGTAAATGCTCGGTTTCTGGGCTCAAAGGCTGCATCTTCTGCTTCTTCAAGTCCAAGATGACTTCCTCGAAAATGGGATGATCCAAGAGCTCCCATGGCAGTGGCCTCCTTTTCGGCAGGACACTCAAACAGCTCTCCAGCAGCTGTCGCAGGCGCTGGTCCATTTGCACATACCGCTCGTGGCACTGGTGCTCCCGCGCAATCTTCTCCAGCACCCCGTTGCTCCTGCCAAAAGCCAGGATTTTTCTAACCACATTCGAGAGCTTTAGCTTGGGCCACAGCTCGATCTGCAGTATCAGCTCCACCATCACCAGGGCCAGCGACCAGACGTCGCTCTTCACATTGCCATTCAGGCCGAGCAGTCGTTCGGGTGCCATGTAGCGAATGTTGCCAATTGGAAAGGGTACATAGGCTCCGCCCTTGGTCATGTGATGCAGTCCGTAGTTGAAGAGCTTCACCCGCTGGCCGTCGCTGGAGAGTAGAATGTGCTTGGGCTCCACGTTGTGCGCGACCAGATGGTGTCGACACAGGACATTGATGCCGCACGCCACCTGGTAGAAGATCCTCAGGATCTGGGCAATGGCCAGTGGCGGATGGCGCATCGCGTAGTCCTCCAGAGACAAGCCCAGGTACTCCGAAACCACAATGGTGCGCTCTGGAAGGAAAAGGTTTCGGCTTTTATTTATCAGTTAGAAGTGAGTCGTCGCAGTTGAATTAGTGGGTGTAATCGTAGATGATTCTGTGATCTTAGCATGTAGGAGGTTAGTGGCAGTTTTGTAGAGTTTTAGTAGTTTTTTTTTTAGAAAGTAGGTTGCTTGCAAGGCGAGCACGAGTTGTGATAGTGGGTGTTTTCGGATTCTGGCCGGATTAGACCGGATGTGTGGCTTTCTGGGAACTGGCAACTCACCGTGCTTGCCGCGGATCACATCCAGGTATTGGCACAGGTGCTCGTCCTGAAGTTCCTTGAGTTTCTGGGCCCGCCCCAGGATCGCAATCGAGTTGGGCGTGAGTGGCAGTCCGTTGCTGCCGCAGACGTCCCCGGGATGCAGTTTCGCGAAAAAGGTGACCGCGCACAGGCGGCACTCCCTTTCGCGCTCCCGCGTGGCCATGATCCCGATGCGATTTGCAAATCACAGCAATTTCGCCGGATTTCACGCCAGCATCAGCAACAATTTAATTTCGGTTTTTTTTTATGGCGAGCGAAATGCAAAAACAGCTGTTCAGGTTGCCAGACTTCTGCGAGTGCAACGCCCCCAATTTGTTGGTTGATGCAGGCTCAAGTTTTTAAGCGTTACAGACCCTCAGCTAAAGTGGTATCTATACGCCATCTATAACTCTAATGTTTATAGATGTTTTCCACAAAAAGATCAACAGTTGATATCGCTTATCCGCCAGGCGTTGCCAGAATTTTTAACAGCTGTTGTGAGCTGCAGATGAATTCCTTTTTGGAATTTTTTCAAGGTGTTAACGTGAAAGTGGTTATTAAGTACAAAAGCCAATGCTTGAATGTATATATTTTGTATACCATTTATGGGTTTATAGCTAAAAACAGTTAATAATGGTTTAAAAACGCCACATCTGGCAGCTCTGGGCGAACCGTGGAAGGTTCCTTCGGTCGTTTTGCAACACCAATCCTTTGTTATCGCCTATCGTTTGTTTGGTTGCCGCCTTGTTGTTGCTTCCGTGTGTTGTTGCTTTTGTTGATTTTGTTTTTATTGCGCACTCGAAATTGTTTTGTTATTTGCTGGCGATACGATGCGAAAAACGCTCTTCACATGCTGCAAAATTCAGTTTAGTCCAAGTTAGTCGCTCGTCGCGTGTAAATGGAAATGCAAGTGTGTGTGTGTGTGTAACTGTTGAATGCAATTTGGCAATTGCATTGCAACTTTGTGAGTGAGAAGCGCAATACGAACGAGAACCAAGCCAATTAACAGCCACCGAGAAATGTCGCTTTTTGTGGAATATACGGAGCCGAAGTGGCGCCATCTGGATATGCGCGCGCTATCCGTTGACGAATTTTACTTGTACCTGCGCTCGGAGTTCAGCAGCCAGACCTACCTGTACTCGCTGTCCGATGAATGCTACACGGTAATAAGCTTACAGTGTACATAATCACATCGCGCAATCGGTTTCCCTTTCAATTGGCCCACTGATTCGATTTTAATTGTATTCTTTGCCGTTTTTAATTCGCAGTGTCCGTACACCAAAGTGAAAGCTCTGCCCGCTGCCGACGTCGCGGCCGGCGTTGCTGAACCGTTACGTTTGAGTTCGGCGTTTTCGCTGAATTTCAAAATATTCGAACACGATCAGGGTCACTATGC